AGTTGTTTTTGTTAAGTCAGTTCAATTAGCTTAATTTACCTCTGCTTTGAGAACATTCAGGTTAAATGATATTTGATTATTATGAAAAAATAGGAACTCTATTGCAATATAACTGATAAGTATCGAAGAACTGAGATTATGAATTCCCAACACAAAACAGGAGAAGTGGTCTCTTAAAAACAAAACAAAACAAACAACAAAAAACCATACATTCTTAAGGAATATGGGTTCCTCTACTCCTTTCCTTGGAACATGACCACTTTCCCCTGAAGCCCTCTGCATTTCACATTGCTGATGCTTTCTCCCTGATTGTAGAAGATAAGCCTGCTGTTGCATGAGCTCATGGTACCAGGATTTGGAATCTACTTCTGTTCACCATCATGAGGTTGATTATGGGTCTAGGTCATGCTGGAAGGGGGTTCCCTAGACAGCTGCTGTGACGTATTTGTTTTTTTTTGTGGGGGGATGTAAAAGTGACCTGGAGCTGTAAGTTCTTGCTGGATCAAGCTGCCTTCTTGCAGTTGTTTGCTCTCTCCACAGGACAATTCTTCCTTATGTTATATCTCCTCCCTATGATTGCTCAGTCCTCACCCTCAAATTGAAATCTTTCTCAAGAAAGGCAGCTCTGCAGAACTTGTGCTAAATCAAGTTAGTGTTACTACTTTTCCCAGGTGTGTTTGCAGTTTGAGGTTCTTATTGCCAGTTGGGGAACCTGCCCCTGTTAAAGGTATTTCAGAAAACTGTAGAATAAGTGAGCTCTATGCTTAGGCCCCACAGGATCTCTCTGCCTGTCTTCAGATCTCAAGTCTGATACTTCCTGGGCAGCAGTTCTCATTTCCAATGTTCTGTTCTGTGTATCACATTTTTTTTTCTTCCTGTATTTGGTTTGAGAAGCACAATTATGTCTGGTGAGCATTGGGCACTTCATTCTTATCTTAATGGATCTGATAGATGGAAGTACACACAAATGGCTCTACCTGTTGGTGCTAAGCTGACCCTCTATCCTTCCTGGGGATAGCATTAGCTCCCCATCCTCTCCAGGCTCCATGGCAGGATGTGCTAGTTTGCAAAACACACTCACAGCAGACTCAGCTCCATATGGTAATTCATTCTATCTATCATCTATCTATTGTCTATCCAGCTCTACATTATGAAAGGACTAGAGGGTAAGGATTGGAAGGCTTTCATACATTTCTTTGGACAATTCAAGATTTTGGGTAGCTCTGCTTTTTTGGACAAAGTGTGAAATGCTGCCTCTTTGAAGAGGGCTGCATGGTGGAAGGGCCACTTGAGATTTGCTGCTGCAGGCTGCTAGCATTTAGTTTTGATGTTATTACTGCTGTTCTGGGTTTTAAATATTTTAATGAAAAATTTTATTGTGTTTGTGGACTGGCTTTTAGCAAAGGCTGCAGTTTTAAACATTCTAATAAATGAATGGGAGATGTGTATAAAGAGAATTAAAAATGGAACTTAGCTAGCTCACACTTACAGATGATTTTACAGAGCACAATAGAGTCTGATGTTGTTTTTGAAGGTGAAGGGATAATGGTTCTTTTTCAGAACTGCCACAACTCCAAAAACTCTGCAAATTCATAGTTGGTTTGGTGAGTGTTTGATTGTCTCCTTCTTTCAAGTGGATTATTGTTGTTGTTGTAGTGGAATCGCCATGTTTCTGAGCTCTGCCTGATTACACAAAGAGCAAAGGGAATGGAGAAAATAGTAACTAACCTGGAAAACCTAACCTCATGAATTGCTTTCTGTTTCTTGCAAATGAGTGATAAAACCTTATTCATTAAGATCTATCAGTTTATAGATTTTATGAATTGGCAAAAATTGAACCTGTGTGTGAAACTTTCCCAATGATCAATGTTGTTCATTTGGTGAATTATACTCCTTCCTCCCACTTCTGGGTTTGAATCCTTAAGTTTTTTCCATAAAGAAATGAACTTAGGCAATCTAGCTAGGTTGTTTGCACACTGCTTTGGAAATGTAATTTCTTTTTGGTGTGGTGGTACCAGGAGCTCTATTGGAGAGTGTGGGCTCCTCTCTTTCCCGGTGTCCCCAAATATCAAAAGATAAAATGGAAAACAATTCTGAAATGTGCGGATGATTGTCAATTCCCTGTTTGCTCTTAGACTGATTTCTTGCCTTTCTTGGGGTCTGCCCTGCATAGTCAGCGTCAGTCAAAGAGATGCATGGGCAGGAAATTGGGGTCAGGAAAGAAGAGAGAGACCTGGCTAATGCTGTTTCTCTGCTTCAGGTCACATCTCTAGCAGCACCTCTAGCTCCCAAGCATGCCCTGCCACCACTCCCAAAGTCTCCCTCCAGTTTGTCATAAAAAAGAAAAAACTCTAACACATTATTTTCTGATTATGCATATTACAAGACCATTGTAAAAAACACTGCAAAAAGGAAAGTGGTGAAATTCTACTACTCAGCAATGACCATAATCAATGTATTGGTATATTTCCTTTTTTGTGTTTCTGCTCTGAATAATTATAAACTGGGAATGCTTTGGGGGAACTTCTACTAGTTGCCGTTAGTGGCTTCTCAGAGCTATAATTTGTGCATGAGCTTCTGTAATAAGAGAACATCTACTACAATATCATCCAGTTTCTACAAAGAGCACAAATCCAAGATACAGCAAACCATGGGTATAAGCCTTTCACCTTCTACCAAACATGCTCAGCCCTTAACACATGAAGGTCACCTCCAGAGCACATGTATTTGGAAGAAGCCTCTTTTTGCATATTGTCTGCTACAGGCAAACAATGACTAGCTTCAAAGGGTTTTCTCTTCAAAAGGGAAATAATCTTCTGAAGCAACTCAAGGAGGCCTTCAAATACATTCCTCAAGCAAAATAACAGTAATAGCAAACCCTGTGTTTATGTGACACTTTCTTTTGATAAGATCTATGTATTCTGGCACTAACTAAATTTTTCTTCATCCTTGTAAGGATTTGGGGAATTATTTTCATTTCCATCTTTATAGATGGGGCCAGCAAGGTAACCATGTGATCAAAGCCAGTGATCCAATACCTTCTGGAAGTTCAGAGATTCTCATTCCATAGATTCTGGGATAGGGTCAGTAATTTACATTTTACCAAAGCTCTTCCTGTGTAGGTGTATAGCCAGGTTTATTGAAAGGCTATTGTAGGAGCCGAATTATAGTCACACTGAGGAATCATATTGTGTGAACACTGTGTACACAATATGCTGATCTTCATGACATTTTGGGATTCTTTGAAGTATTAGTTCTTCAATCTCTGAGTACCCAAAATTGGGGATATTTAGACTTTTCTTGACCATGATTGGTTTTCTTCCTGATTTAGATAGTCTGTATACATGGTTTTCTGTGCGTGTTGCCTGCCCCACTGGGTGCAGGCTAGTCTCATATTTTGAAAGTGGAAGGTGGCCCAGACCTGTGATGACTAAGAAACAAGTAGCAGATGACAGTGGAAAATGATGGAAGTTCCTGGGTCCCTCCTATCCCTGTTGGGCACCACTGGCTTTAATGTTTTAAGAATCATTGGGGCTGGGGTTGTAGCTCAATGGTAGATCCCTTCTCTAGCATGTGTGAGGCACTGGTTTGATACCCAGCACCTCAGCAAAAGTGAGGTGCTAAGCTACTCAGTGAGACCCTGTCTCTAAATAAAATACAAAAATTGGGCTGGGGTTATGGCTCAGAGGTCGAGTGCCCCTAAGTTTAATCCCCAGTACCAATGAATAAATAAATAAATAGATTAAAGGTATTGTGTCCATCTATGACATATATATATATATATATATACACACACATATGTGTGTATATATATATATATGTATATACAACTATATATATTATATGTATATATACATGAATATATACATATATACACGTGTGTGTATATATATATGTATGTGTATATATATATATACACACACACACATACATACATGCTGGGTTTTCTGTTTTCTGTCAATGTGAATTAGCGATGAAACAACAATGATATCTGACTCCTCCCCTCTCTAAAATGCTTTAGTCCTATGTCTAATTTTTTTGGTAGCTAATTGAACTAATATGTTCCTAGAGGAAAGTTCATATATTAGATATCTTTTACTGCGAAATAAATAAAACCTAATACTTACTGGTTTAAAACAAGAAACATTTATTACCCTATAGTTTAATTCGGTCAGGAGTTTGGGAGGAGGGTAGCCAGATGGTTGTGCTGCGGTCTTTCATGAGATTGCAGTCATGATATCAGCTGGAGCTTTGATTATTCTACAGGCTCCACTGCAGCTGTAAAGTCAGGTTATAAAGTGGCTCGTTCACATGGCTGTGGGCTGGAGGCTCAGACTCCCTGTGCTGTTGTTTTCAGGGGCCCTCAGTTTCTTTCCTTGTAAGATTCCCCACAGGACTGCTTGTCCTCAGGGCATGGCTTTCCCCAGAATGGGTGATATTATAGAAAATGTAGAAGAGGGCCACCCAGGAGAGTGTGTCCCACTCTCATGACATTTTTGCAATCACTCTCATATTTTTTTAGTCATAAGTGAATCACTAGATACACTCCACCCTTAAGGGAAGTCCAGGAATTGGGCTTCACCTTTGAAGGGAGGAGCATCAAGGACTATGGATAATCCTTTACCATCCTAACTTTTCCAGTACTACATTTATATAATAATAGATCCTCAATGTTTAATGTTCAATGCTTAATGTTCAATGCTTAATAGATTCTAGAGCTCTCTTTTCTGACTTACTGACTTTAGACAGAGAAGAATAGAGATACTTCAGAATCTGGTTGATTTTGAATACCCTCTTCTGTCTGAGATGCACATGCCTGTGTGTGCATAAACACACACACATGTGCAATCTCCTGGTTCTAGATCTGATCCATAAAGCAGTCACCTAACCACTGTCACAAACAAAGCTTGCCACGGAGCCTTCCCCACCTCCATTCCCAGTCAGGCACTGGTCCCTCTGGTTTCTGACTTTTATTTTGATTATCCCATTCTTTGTCCTCAGGTTTGCCCTGAAGAAAAGCAGAGCAAGAATTGCAGTGACATTTGCAAGGAAGAGGAAAATCTTTTCCTTCCGCCTATGTATTCAGGAGTTGTGATATCCCTCATATCCTAGCAACAGTCTTGGAGGTGAGGCAACGCTTTGGGAGAATCAAAGCAAGTCTGACAGCAGCATCATGACTATTGAAAAGGCCTTTGAAAGATGAAAAAACTGCCAATTATATGTCTTTGAATTGGATTCCATGCAAACTCTCCCTGAAGGAATCCCATTTGCTTAGTGTCTGGGCAGGGACAGTAAGGGAGAAAGGAAGCCGGGGACATGTACTGCCCAAGTTGCACAAAGCAGCTCCTTTGGCAGAGAATGATGTCTGTTTCCCAGGCTGGGAGGTTACTGAAATGGGACAATGAATAAACCAAGGATCATGGTTCTGTCAGGCTTCTCAGGACATTATGCATTAAAGGCTTGTAAAGCACCTGTGAAAAATGCAGTTAATGAATGGTAAAGAGGAGGAAGAGAGCTGCTATGTGTAGGTCAAAGATGGTAGAGGACATTGCCACAGGAAGAGGGTCATTTTCTAAACTCTATTTCTTGTCCAAGGAATATTTACTTCTGTAACCTCTTGAAATAAAGCTCAAATTATTATAAGACATATAGGAAGAGTGTCACTAATGATAAAGTGACATGTTTTTACATCTTCTGAGGGACATGGGCAGAATTTTCTTGGTTTTTTAGTTTATTGGGGTGTGTTTATGAGGGACAATAATTAGGAAACGCAGGTGGCACTGTGCATTTCTGCTATAAAGCATTCTCTTCTGAGTGGTTTTGAATGACAAACATCAAAGCCTGTTGTTCACATTCTTTCATTAAACCATCATAGTGATCTGGAGACGTAGCTCTGTCTTTACAGGTGAAAATTTTGAGTTTTGGGGCTTAGGTACATTTCCCAAGGTCACATAGCTAATAATTGGCAGAACCAGAGTGGGGACTTGGGTCATCCAGCTTTCAGTGCTCTGTCTAATCTACTCTGGAACTGTTGCTTGCAGCAGGATTGCTATAGAAGTTTCCCAACTCTCATTTGGAATGGTTTTGTACTTTTTTGAAAAGCAGTAAAATGACCTCTTGCCTTTGCTCAGCATCTTAATCTATAAAATGATTTGATGGCTGGATTAATGTGGGGATCAAATGAGAAATGTTAAAGCATTTTTTAACCTGAATGTGCAGTTTAAATACAAGGCATTATGCTCTTGCCTCAGCTAGAACTTGCTTCTAGGGGATTTTATGATCTGAATGTTTGCTATGGCCCTGTCTTTATGATGAGATTGGTGTCCTTATAAAGAAGGCGGAGGGAGCTTCTTTACTAGTTCTACCATGCGAGGGTGAAGCAAATAGGCACCATGTATGAGACAGAGAACGAGTCCTCACCAGACCCTGTATGTGCTGGCACCTCAATCTTGGACTACCCAGCCACCAGAACTGTGAGCGACAAATTTCTGTTGTTTTTAAGTCAACAGTCTAAGGTATTTTGTTATAGCATCCTAAATAGACTAAGACAAATGTTTATATTAGCCAATGCACATGTGGTGAGTGCTGGTTGTGTTCAGTTCATTCCACTAAGACTGAATGTTTGCCGAATTGAGATGATGATGGGATTTCTACCTAGTGCCCTTGTGTTATTTCTTGGGAATTGGAGCATAATGAGTGTAAGAGCTGCTGAAATTGGCAAGGCAAAAAAGGTATCATTATCTGTGTGAGTTCTGTGCTCTCTGCACTTTTGGAGTTGAGCTGTATGAGTAGTAAATCATCACCTTTCTAGAAGATAAGCAGTTGCCCATTTTCAAATATTAAAATCCAAGAGAGACAAAGAAAAATGTGTTAGGATGATTATTTAGGGAAAAATGCAAAAATGACCCTGAGTTTCAAGTACAAAGGGAAAAAATTATCTGAGCTCTTCTTCCCATATAAATTCAAGTGGAAAAGAACAGTATACAGTGAAGTAATTGAATAAATAGCATGAGATATTTATAAGTTGAAATTTCTCTTCATAGGGAGAAGGTCTTGAATGCAAATGTGAAATATTTATCTTCTCACTGCTCACCATTGTCTACTTTAAATAAGGTTGTCTTGTTCATTAATAATGAAAAAGACAGCAGAACACCATCATTCTTGAGATGATTGTACAATTTATAATAATTTATCACTTCTAGGTGCTTACTCTCATTTATTAGTTTTCTTATGCGTCAATATCTTTAAAATGGAGACTACCAAAATTCTTCTCATTTTATGAATTTGGGAACTCTGCAGTGCCCAGAGATGAGTTTTGGGTGAGGTTAAACTTTGAGGATGGAGCGGACCTTTGGTTTATTTCTAGTGTCAAATATACAAAAGCCCCCTTAGTTCATTGTTTCCTACCGCCTCATTTTTTTGATGGAGACAATTGAGTCTAAAAGAACAGTGGTGGGTGAATTAGCAGAGGCTAGGACCTGGTCAGTCTGTTTCTTGAAGCTCAATTTCATTCAACCCCAATGTGCCTCACACTGAGCCACCCCAAGGGCTGCAGTATCTGGGAAGTTGTTCTCCCTGCTCTGCTTTGCCTTCTGGATAGAGGTCAAGTAGGGGTGAGCAGAAGTCAGGACACAATGGGAGTCAGCCTTGTAAAAGATTTCAAAACTCCTTAAGCATCGTTTTCATCCCACAACATTTGCATTGGCTTCACTCCTTGCCTGTGTAATCATCTTATTCCCCATCAGACAACATTACAAATGCGGGCAGCCATAGCCTCAATTTTCCAGAAGCCACCAGTTCCCGTACAGCCAAAGGAAGCAGAAAGGAGGGCCCAGCACAGTTTCTTCTTGGAATCTGACCCAAGCTTCCTCTCTTTCCTCCAGATTGCTTGTAGTCTGCAGTAACCTGAGCTTATTTTTGATGCTGGTAAGGGTGGTGGAACACAGAACCAAGTGCCATGTGGGACTGCAGGGGCCAAGATGGTGACATAAGAGAGCTGGATACTTCCAGAACTACTTGTAAACAAAGTGTGAAGTGAGACTGTAAAAGGATGTGAGCAGGGAAACGAACAGCGCAGACATAGCACAGGACCGGTGGAATCTCCAATCCTGTCTCTAATGCCCCCACTTTAATTTAATTCCATACTGTTTTTTTTTTTCCTACATAGTACTGGCTGCTTTAGAGTCAGGTCAGCAAACATGTACCAGACATTATGCTTGGTCCTGGAAAAGACAACTAAGGATAAGACCCTTTGTCTTCCAAAGACCCCATCAGCATCATTGGGAGATGTCACACCTGAGCCGTACTTTCAACCTGTTGAGTCAAGGATCTGCTACTGAAGCAAATTTCCTGGATTAATCTCCTTCACTCACTTGAGGGAAGGCAAGTGAGTGAACTTTGGGTGGCCTTGATTGGAAGTTGAGGGACTCTTGTGTGTTCTGGCCTGTGATACCTAGAGGGACAGACTCTGACTTTAGACTGCTGGTGCTTATAAGTGATTGACTAAACTCCTTTAGGTGAAATGAATGAGCACCTCAGGCCACTTAGGGAAATTTTAAAAATTTGAATACCAAAATCAAGTCTAAGTCTGATTAAGAAACATTTATTGAGCATCTAGGATATCCATGGTCATTTGGGGCATGAAGAAGAAGTCTAAAGCCAGTCCTTGCCCTCCATTTAGCAGTGGATGTGAGACTCACTGATGTAACCTACTGAATGAAGGACAGAGCAAGTAAACCTTAGAGAGTGTCTGCCCTTGGGGAAGTGGGAGTGTGGGGAACACCATCTTACATGCAGAGGTGTTAAAATGTGCAACTGAAAATCCTGGGAGAGAGAGGGAAGGTGAGTGGAGGGAGATCCTTACTGATAGGGACATGACTTTTTTTTACTGTCATGAAATGAAATGAGTGGTCCTCTTCATTAGTTAAAAATAATTAATAATTATTGATCATATTCCAGTCTAACATTATCTGGGTATTATATCCCATCATCCTCACAGCCACCAGATACGTTAATTTTCTCATTTTCCAGACAAGAGAATAAGAAAAAAGAGAAGTTAAGTCAATTACCTAATGTCACGTGGGAAATAAGCAGTAGGCCCGGAATTTGAACCTCTGGGGCTTTTGCTCTGTACAGTTCTGCTGTTTGGCTTAGGGATCCTGTTGGAGGGATCTTTGGAGGAGGGAAAGTGAGAGCCATAACCCTCAGGAAGTACAGCATAGAAAAGCAAGTGAGACAAAGCCTAAAGGAGCTGTGGAACTTCCTGGAAAATGAGGCAGTGGAACAACTTGGGGCATTTTATCTCTGTCTGGGGCAAGAGGCAACCTTTGTATTCTTGGTGGGACACAGGTGTGCATTTGCATGGGTGCCAGTTAACCCCTCTCCCCCTTAGGTTTGCTCTCTAGTGGCAGCAGTTCAGGGCAGGAGGAGAGAGCAATGGCCCTCTTGACTCAAGATCCAGGGCTGGCAACATGAATTAGGTAGGTGGAAAAGGGAAACATTTTGAGAATTCCCAGAGGGCCAGCAAGAATAAAGTTGCAATGCCTGACCTTAAGACTAGATATAAAGAACAATGAAACTAATAGACCAGGGGGCAGGGAAACAGACAGGTTTGGTGTCAAAATGGTGAGTTTGGAATCTGAGTGGTGTTGGCTACAGTGTGAGTGGGGATAACTGAATGTCGCCCAGGAAAATGGGTGGAGTTCATCAGTGAGGAACTGTGAGAAGACAATGTGGAGGTAATGGAGGATGTCATATATGAGCAGCTGGAGAAACCTGGGGTGATGCCTCCCAGGAGTCGCCTTGGTGGCTGGAGGGCAGTGTGCTCAGAGGTGTTCTAAATCCGCCAGACCTCCCATAGAGCAGGCTGTGATCAATGGACAAAAGAGGCCCCCCACTGTTAGGGAAGAATTTATTGGCTTGGTGCTTGATCTGAGCCTGAAAGGAGGAGACATGTTTGATGGCTGGGGCTACAAAGAGGGAAGGAGAAACACAGACAAGCTACAGAGGGTTGCTGGGAACTTCTCTCACCACCTAAGTTCTGCTCTTTGTGATGATCCACTGTGCGAATGTGAATGGTAATTATTAATATCCATGGCATTAGGGGCTTGTTTTGTTGGCATGCAGG